TTACTTTTTATACTCGTTTAAACGTACTCGCTTATCTTGATTGATTGTCTCCCACCTGTGAGTATGTTATAGCTAAATCAATTGTCTTTAAGAAGTGTCTCTTTATTTTTCATTTTGATCACGCCATCATGGTCAAAAAGAATGAATTTTTGGAGCCCTTTTATCTCTCATTCTTAAACGATGTACACAAATAGAACAGAGTGAGGGCGGCAGACTGTATTTCGACGCTATCAGACAAATATATATAGGTTATATGAAGGGAAAGTTTGTGTGGCATTACCGACTAACAGGCGGTTTTAAATACACTTGACAATGTTTAATTTCGTGTGCTATTACTATACACGCATACATGGTGACGTTCGTGTCTGTTAAAATTTGAAAATTCTCCATATTCAGATAGTTTAAAGAACGTTTCGGGTCATTTTCGGCATTTCAAAACTTTCCATAATTTACCCGCCGTACCTTCATTTCCACGCACACAGCACATACTAAAGCTGGAAATTACGCGTTGTTACATATTTTGTGTTTCTGACAGAGTCAGAAGTCACTCTTTGTGACATTTCCGTGCTCACGGGCGTCAAGACGTGCGTGTACGCATGCGTAAGTCTTTTAAAATGCTCAAAATTATTCTTTTTTTTTAAAACTAATTACAGCATATGTTAGCATATTATGAAACTTTTCAATCAGCACCGCGCGCGCTTCCTGAGGGTCAAAGTACGGCGGATAACCGAATTCGTCCTCAGTGACGAGTTCAAATCTAGTTCACAATTGTTTGTTAACGTAGTCAAACAAGGCTTTTAAATACACGCGTGCCGATGTTTCAATTTCTTTAGAAATATGTTTTCTTTTTCACAACAACAGGCCAGAAACAGCTTCGTAACTTTTGAATTCTTTCAAGGCTATTCTATTTATTCGATGCACTACAATGAATAGTTTTTGAAAACGTATTTCTAAAGAAATTGAAACATCGGCGTATATTTAAAAGCCTTGTTTGACTATGTTGTTAACAATTGTGAATAAGGTCGAGTGAGCATACTTCATGAATACTTTTCAGATTTGCTTCACCGCAAGTTAGTCGATGATTGTTCTATTGACGTCAACATTCTTAACATTTCAATAACCATGACAAGCTTAGATTTTTGTTCCACTTCAGCCATGAACAGCTTCGTATTCTTGGAGTTCATTCAAAGGCTTTATGTTTCAGTCGATACAGTACTTCGGTTCGATGGACTAAAAACACACGGCGCTAGGCCAGGATATCATAGAATTCACACAAATTGTAATTACTGTAGTGTACTGTACTGAGTTATTTTTAAAGCTTTTAAAAACGACATGTATTTTGTTGCATTACACCTATTGGTATTATACTTTGAACTTAAATTCCCTGAAGTCTCAAAGGAATTTAAAATATATGCAACTTGACCAGTTTGTTCTCAACATCCTTTAATATTTTTTTTGAATATTTTAATATAACAATTATGCACATTAATTTAGAGCTTCGCTTACTAGACGCCACCGGGGCCTTGTTTCTGGATGTGATCAGGTGCTTTTTAAGACCCTTAAAGGTACTCCCGGCTAAAATAAACTTGAGACTCACTTGCGCAATTGTCAGAAAGCTGTAGGCCTATCCGTGCCTCCGGGCTTCACATCAAGGGCCCTTCCATTATCTTGTTGGGGCCCGTCACCAATCACCATTATCATTATCAATTATCATCATCACCATCATCATCATCATCAGCATCATCATTATCAGCATCATTATCATCACATCATTATCATCCTTATTATCATCATCATTATCATTTAATTTTTTAGTCCAAGGGCGCCGTTTCCGGCCATCTGAAAATGACAGACATAACATTTTATACTTCAACTTCAACCCCACCCAAGATAAAGCTGAGGTTTAAATTATTTAAATTTAAAAAGCAATAATGATACAATAATATTAAAGGGGGCCTCAGGAAAAGAAAATTGCATTGGGGCTGCCATTTCCGGCATTATTACACTAATATCACGTGATCGCTTACAGTTAATATCACATGTTACGGTACCGTATTATTTTACCCATTATACTTGATATAAAATACTCACCTTTCTTTACTCTTTGGTGCACTTTTATGATCTTTTTTAATGACGTTATACCAGCCCCTGTACGACCTTGGTCTTGTTCTGTAGTATCCCATTCTTTTTACCCGTTGCCAAATATCATCGTCTTCTCCACCCCACCCCCAATACACATTAGGAAACCCGTTTATCTCGTACATTTGTCCTCTCGTCATACCTGTTACTGCTCCGAAAAAGAACGAGTAACTTAATCTATATGAGAACAGAAAGAGAAAAGGTTATGAGGATGATGTATTCTGTTAACAGATTAATAGATCACTCAATTAATCAGTCAATCACTACTTAACCAATCAATAATTAATAAAGGTATGTGTAGCTGAAGCAGTTGTGTATAGCCTATAATTTTCAGAGCCTAACTGCTTCAATTTTGACTGACTGTAAAAACACAATACAGTATCCTTAGTAACGTTGCATTCACATCAGATCGAAACCGAAAATCGGACCAAAAGTTTTCGATGCGCTGAAAGCCAGCGTTCCTATTCCTATGCTGTTCGCACTATGACATTTTATAAGAAATATATGTGATGTGCCCATGGGCATGATGATGTCATATTACACCCAAATATGGGCATACCACATTATTTGTAACATAAAATTTGATAGTGTGGACAGATCTGATTCGATTTTCTGATCGGTTTGGTTAGGCTTTCAGATTCAAAAATTCTGATTCGGTGTGAATGCACCTTAAAGCTTAAGTTCACACTAAAAAAAAATGAACGCTCTCCATTCGCCCCCCAAATATCACGGTGAGTTAAAAATCACCTTATTTTGCGAATTAGCGCCCTCAACTGATCATCGACCCCCCTCCCCTTCACCTTCTCGCCTCTCCATCAGCACTCCCATTTCAAGACTCCTAGATACGCCACTGGGCTACCCCTATTGAAATTCGGCATCGGAAGAGCTCTGACTTTTAATTCAATGACCATTAGGGGGTTAGGTATTTGGTTACCGAATTCGCAAAGGAGCAGAAAACCATGTGACCCTGGAATTGAGAAGAATAGGCCAATCATAAAAAAGCAGATGGGTGCTTATTCTCCATCTCCTGGTCTGGAGCCGCTATACTGCTAAGTTTTTGCAAATAAATCTAAACTTACTTGTATCCCCACTTATCAACACCACTGACAAAATGGCGCGGCATTCCAATACATCCGTAGTAGTTTCCGTCATTGTACGGAACGTGATCAACATCGTGGTATATAAAACAATCCCATTTGGTAAAATTTAAAGCTTCGAGGAAACCCACGTTGAGCAACATTGCACGATTGAATAATTGCGTATTGTCCTGGTGATAAAAAGGGTAGACTACCAATCAACCACCAATCAAATTGGTGGTCGACAGTACGTAAATAAATGTCGAACGAACATTATATCTGGTTCTTTCTCTCTTCTTAATATCTTTGTGTTCTCAATATGTTCTCAATCAGTCAATCAATCAAACAATCAATCAATCAGTATGTCGGTCTGTTAATTAATCCATACAATGGCAACTGATAAAATAAAGGCATATCGTTTTAAATTCTTATACCATTATTGTTTTTATTAAATTCTTGTTAAATTAATAGCATGAAATAATATTTAATTGAGAAGGCCATGCTTTATGTAAGACCTAATAATTCAGTTAAGATACGACAAAGAACAACGTTTCTTTTTATTGTGTTTATTCATAGAAAAATGGAAAGAAAAATGGACCAACCTGTTCTATCACGAATATACCAAACTCTAATTTTTGTCTCTGTAGCATAGGAATTATATACCTAAGAAATATTGGTAGATGCGTATAGCGATCACGAAAAGGAATTATCAACGCCACCTACAAAAAACAAGTCAAAATGAGATAACGTGGGAAATAGTTACGAATAACATAATGTGTGGAAAGATCAGGGGTGGCACAAGATTTGTCAAACTGGGGGTGGGTGTGATGGCGATATCCCCGACGTTGGGGAGGGGGGGGCGAGGATTCCCCGACGAGAGCACACGTGGGTGTAGTCGGACATCGCTCGAAATCTCTCGGAAGTGATTATTGATTAAATAAACAAGCTCTCCCTACAGAGAGCAACACTTTTAATCACCCTCCGATACAATTAATATACGATATCGATGGAAATAATATTGTAATATTTGTACTCGTCACTTTGAATTTCATGAACATTACAGTATGTTGATTCTTGGTCGAACGTTTGTATGTAATAAATGAATAAATGAATGAAAGAAAGAATAAATGAATGAATGAACGAACGAAGTATGAATTAACCAATAAATGAATGAAAGAGTGAAAGAATGAAAGAATGAAAGAATAAAAAAAAAATAATGAAAGAATGAATGAATTGAAAGAAAGAATAAATAAAAGAAATAATGAAAAAAAGAAAGAAGGAAGGAAAAAAATGAATGAATGAGAGAATAAAAATGAAATAATGGATGAAAGAAAGAATGAATAAATGAATGAATGAATTAATGAATGAATGATTTAATGAATGAATGATTGAATGAATGAATAAATGAATGATTTAATGAATGAATGATTGAATGAATGAATGAATGAATAAAAGAATGAATGAATTAACATATAAAATTAATAAATATATAAATGTAATGGATTAAAAAATGATTGAATGAATCGACATATTGACAATTTCTAATTATGATCGATAAAAACTCACCTTCCATCTTGGCAGACAGTCGGCAGGCTTCCAATGTCCTCCAGGGATATATACAAAGTCATTAAATAAAAGTGTTACTGACGACACACATTCTTCTATAGTCTGCGTAGATTGACGGTGATGAGCGCGATTTATTAAGTTCACGTTTAATTTCATATTCTGATCGTGGGCCGCCCCGCGCACCTCTGCTGTATGTTCTTTGAAAATTACTTTTTCAGATTGTTCTATTGTGATAGTGTCATTCAAGTTTGAAGATAAATTTCCATCTGGTATAAAGTAAATAGAATTGTTAGTTTATTTAAATTTTCTTTTTACAAATCAGGTTAATAATAAAATTAATCTAACGATTATCCTAAATCTATTAAACATATTTAAGAGCAAAGTGCGTGGATGGAGACTAGATCAAAATACGTTTGAAAACTTAAGGCGTGGCCACTCTAAAATAAAAATATAATAGCGGATCAAGCACGTATACTAAGATATTAAGAAATAATAATAATAATAAAAAAAGCTACAGGTAGGCGGGTTTAAAACAAGATTATAAGATATAGGTCTACTTCCCCCACCCCCTTAAAAAAATAAATGAAAGTTAATATTTTAATAAAAGGTAAAAAATTAGAAAATTACTATTGATAAAAGGTACAAGATACTTCATTGTCAGAATAAAAATTATTTGATACTTATCGTGCCTTATACTGTAGAATGTGATAAATAATTTTTAGTAAACAAAACGTTTTAATTATCTTCTGAAATTTTGATTAAATAAAGTATGTGCAATGTTGAGTATCTGAAACGGTTGTAGATATGATTTGATGTTTGTGTTTAAGCTTATCCAATCTACTAACAAATGTCTGAATACAATGGACGGGATGAGCCTTGCATAATTAAATTAAATTTCTTAAGTATGAAATTATCGTTATTTGATATAATTTTGTTTAGGTGGCAATATAATCGTGGTCAATAACGAAAACGATCTGTCTCTTATACACATCTAGATGTGTATAAGAGACAGGTTACTGCATGTGTATAAGAGACAGATATTACATCCTATATACATAAATGTATGCCTATATTCAGTTGCGAATAATACATTAGAAGAAAGTACGGTATACCTTAGGAGTGTTATACAAGAGACTTAAAAACACTTACTGTTACTATAAACAGAACTCGGTTTGTGTAGCCATGACTTAACCTTTTTGAATATTGACTCGTGCCTAGAAGGTGGAGGAGCAGCAATACCTCTTCGCGATCTGTATACTAGTTCTACAAACAAACGCAAAAATAATTACTAGGGTTATTTGACCTTTAAAAACATAAACAAATTATTTACATTTACGTATACTGTAAGTGGAAAAGTTCGTTTATGTTGGATGTGGAATAAAAGAAAAATGGAACAATTGGATGCATGCATGCCTAACATTACATTTATTTATAAATATTATAATTTAAATCAAATTGCATCGCAGAAGAAACATGTTAAAAAAAATGAATGGAGTCACCGAGAAGTAACTTCAAGAGGCAAAAAACATTCGCAATTAAGATTTGGAAAATGAATGGTACGAGAAATGAGATAGTAAAATATGAAGTATTAAAATGTCTGGCGTTAATGGTAACATCATAATTAAACCGTCAAAGTATACAAGCACACGAAAGGTAACGATTTGCGATTATTTGACGAATATTCTCCTTATTTTCAGGTATTATTTACTATTATTATTATTATTATTATTATTATTTTATTATTATTATTATTGTTATTATTATTATTTTATTATTATTATTATTGTTATTATTATTTTATTATTATTATTATTAAAAATAATATTATTATATTCTATTGTCATTACTACTACTATTATATTTATTACTTTTTAAATATTATCTTCATCATTATCGTCATTATGATAATTATATTCGTTAACAGCGATCTCAGGAAAATGCTCGACTTGTATTCTCTGAACACTGGCACCAACACGTGTCTCTGGCTAGATATATTTTAAGCCAAGCCCTACGCAAACATTCGCCCAAAGGCCCTGTAGGCCTATACATCTGAGTGTTCGCTGTTGATCGTGGGGGCGAGAGAGGTGTGAATGATATAATAGTATGCCTAGTAAGTTATTCCTGGTGCATGTAACCTATGACATGGTGTATGTGTCTGTCTTACCTGATTTTAACGTCACCTCTTTCCATAACATGACCGTCGTCATTACCCCAAGTAATACTAGAATCCATAATGTACGTAGTACATAATTCAGTTTTAAATCTGTCAGGAAATTCCGCTTATTTATCTTCTCCATGTTAATCATAAGCGTAAATAATAGTCATTATATATTCCTGTTTTAGGGAACGCTACTTGAATACTGTGTACTACCCTATTATTGTCAGGAGTTCCGAGCCTCTGTTCTTCAATAGACCAGGACAAACATGCCTATTTGTAAGTCGCCCATTATTAATGGCTTTATATTGACAATCCCACATTGAAATTCGTATGGTACAATAAATTCTCTTTTCAAGAAGAATAGTATTGTTTGGATAGCTTTGCATGAAAGCCTCGTAGTAAAATGGCTGTCTCATTGAATAGGTGTAACGATGCAAAAGGTGACCCTTATATTATTGAAATGAGTAACTAACTTTCTATAGCGGGCTTAGAAATGAAGAGATACGGTAGCAAATGTTATGAATGAAAAAAATAATTAAATTAAGTTTTACTTTATAGACTAATAATAAATAGTAGGATAATATAGAATTTATATCAATCTTTTAAAATTTACGAAACCACAAATATTTCTAGATTTTTTTTTTTAAAGAATACAGTTTTGTGTCATGATTTATGAATTAGAAAAACATAAAGAAACAGTAGATCACTTTCTCTTTGAATATTTTACGAAAAGCTTGGAAAGGGACGTAACCACAATTCCCCCCCCCCCCCCCCACAGTTTTTAAATATTCACAAGTCTGTATCTCATTAACCGTTCCCTTCCCAAATATTTTTTGTGTCTTAGAAAAATCAGTTGCACCATTACATATCAAAAAAATTGTTTTACTTAGGAGCCTGGCTTTTAAATGTATATTTTTTCACCCCCATGATTTTTCTCAACCCCCCCCCCCCTAAAATCACAATGGGTGGTACAACCATTGATATGGCTCCAAGCAAACATAAGATGATAATGATATTTGCAAAGTCTAGCAGCACCTGGTAAGTTAATAAAATAAAAATGATTAGAAAGCAATTCCGTCATTTATGATTTATGGTGTTAAAGACGTCTTTTGAAATCTATTACTGTGTCTCACAGATAGGCCAACTTGGTCTAAATTGGTCTTGGAGTTTTTGTGATCACTAAGACCAGTTTTCAGATTGTGTGGACATTTTGGTATAGTTGGTTAAATGGTGTATAAAACATTTTCTCCTTACTCCCTTTATTGTATTTTTTTGTGTGTATTTAGTTTTCCGAGATACTGTATTTATAATGGTGTAATGTACAAACTATCAACCGTATGTAGACGATCATGTTGGTAGGTTGAATTTTCTTTTGTGGGTTACAACTCTGGAATAATTTGCCTTTGAATTTAAAATGCACCTCTTCAAGATCAATATTTTTATTACGATTTGAATCTTTATTACTACAAAATATTTAAGGTGTCTGCCCATCTTATAATTTAATATTTCGAGATCTGTATTTTTAATAAAAATAGTTTTAGTCTAAATCTCTTATGTTAGATGTTTAAGAAAATTATTATGTAATGATTGTTAGATTAGGAGTCAAAGCTATTTTTTGACTACTTTTCACCGATTTGTGAATAAACTGGAATTGAATTTAAAATGACTGAAACAATAAGCTACAAGATAATTTAAACATAATTCGTTGTGCGAAATAAATCGATTTTGACACCTGTCATAATGTTGTCCGCACTCTTCTTCTTTCCAAGATTGAACTGTAGCGCTCTTTTTATAACATTTCTCAATGGGATCTTCATAGGTTCCAAAAGCTGAAGAATAGGTGTGCACGTTTCATCTTTCGGCTCCCCAAATTTCATACTGTAAGTCCACTACTCCGGCAACTTCATTGGTTGCCGATTAGATAGAGAATTGTTTTTCGCACACTCTCTATCACATTTCGTTCAATTAATTGCCTAAACAGTAAACCTGCTTACATTGTACACTTATCTCCAGTCAACGATATCGCCATGGTCATAATCTTCGTTCATCTGGCTCTTTTTGCCTTCGATACCTCCGACTAATAAGAAAGCTGGTAATAGGGCATTTTCAATTGCTTCACCCAGGTTTTGGAATAATCTTCCCCAGCGAGTTACGACATGCTTCTCGCTATCTTGGTTTTCGACGGCTTCTTAAAAACATTTGTACTCTAAGTATATCTCACGGAACTGTCCAAATTTTCTGTTTTGTTGTCATTTCTGGTGTCTTTGTTGATCGATGTATTATCTTCTTTTTATTTACTTTCATTGCGCCTCGTATCCATTGGCAAAAGGCGCGGTATTCCTGTATTAGTACCTAATTAAGAGCTTGTTAGACATAGGGTGAGTGTGACTAACAAATAAATGGGGTGGCCGGACCCAGGGGTGTTGCATGGGGCAGTCGCCTCCAGCTACATCTAAAAAAATCACAAGTTAATCATAATTTTAGCTAAACTTTTGAAGCTTCTTTAACATTATTAATCCCCGAGAATGCATTAAGGCTTCATTATTAAGATATTATTAACTAATGTATAATGATCGAAATACTGTGTATCCGTTATCTTTAAACTGAAATTTCTTAGCTCCGACGGCCGTGCCAAACGTCGCCAACCAGAATCAGCATTTGGACCCCGTATTGTATGTAAGCTAATAAAGGAGAGCAAGGGAAAAAAGATTATCTGTTTCAGTGTCATTGAGCGAAATTACAAATCAAAAATAAATAAATATATAAAAATTAAATGAAACAAAAAAAAAAAAAAAAAAAAAAAAAAAAAAAAAACAACCAAAAACATACCATTTTGAAAGCCAATACATCTTTAGGTTTAATGTTGTTTACCAACTTACTATTTACAAATTAATATTTTCGTGTAATTTGCTAAAATCTATTTAAACGTTATATAATCGCTCACGAAACAGGGTGGGTGCTGAGAAAATACACGTCACGCTCATGGGCTGCTCACACACCAGTCGTGTGTGGCACGTTCAGATTATTACTGTGGCACCAGTAAATGTATGGTACGACAAGGTTGCCGTATATGCTGTAGAGCGTAATACATGAACCACTGTCACACTCCATGAACATCACTATTTCCCCTACAACTGCCACATATTCCTATTTTGCAACGTGCCTATAGGCTTATAATAGTATGGTCTATATAGGCGCGCCTAATATATTAATCAAATAAAGTGTCATACAATATAGGCCAATACAAAAAATAAACAATAAAAATACAATTGCATTTAAATTCATGATATCCAGACCAGGATTGCATTGTCGACGTCAATCCCTTAATAATGGTTAAAATAATAATATTAATAATATTATTAATAATAATAATAAATTAATATTATTAATAATAATAATAATGATAATAATAATGATGATGATGATAATAATAATAATAATTATAATGATAATAATAATAGGTATTAAGAATAATAATAATAAAAATACTACTACTACTAACAATAATAATAATAATCGTAATATCAATATCGTATGTAGGCCTAAATAAAAATATTGATTATAACAATATGCTTAAAGTGTTAATTTTCATACGGCGCTTAAAAGAGTGGTATTACATAGGCATACAGACAGGTGTCATCCGCAAAGCAATATACTAGTATTTTTGTGATTGTCAATCAATATTGATTGATTGATTGATTGATTGATTTATTTTCCACATAATGAACAAAAAAAAAAACATACATGATCAAATATATTCAAAAAATCTATAATAATAATAATAATAATAATAATAATAAATAATAATAATAGTAATAATAATAATAATATCAATATCAATATCATATAAATAACAATTTTGATTATAACAATATGCTTGAAGTGTCATTTTGCATGAGGTGCTTACGAGAGTAGTATCACATCAGACCAGTATCATCCGCAAAACGGTATACTAGTATTTTTTGGAGGCATGTGTCTGATTTTATTTCGAGCATGCCAAATGAATAATATATTAAAACAAAATATTCTTGATTGTACAGGCCTAGAACCTACGTGTCCATTATTTATTATTAGTTACAATCCATGTAATGAAACGATTTTAATTACATAGTGCATGTACAAGGAGACAACAATATTGCTGAAAATCCATTTTCCTGTCATTCGGCAAGAATTGGCATATTTCAGTTCAGAAAATTCACTTTATGAATTTTATACTGAAGGATCCGTATTTAGCTGGGATGCGGCCGCTCGCAATGCTTGAATCGAAGCATATGGACCCTGGGAAAACAGGCGATGGTACCTATGACTTGGATGTTGTGTGGTATTGGTGGTTAGCTCGCAAAGCGGCTGGCCTAGTACTGGATGTAGTATGCCAGGGGTGGAGCATGTCGTTGTGAGATTGGTAAAGAATGGAATAGAGGCTCCGAAACTCAGCGGTACGTGCGATGCCGATGAAATAAATGAATGCGTACCTGAAATTGAATGATAAAAGAAAGTTATAATGTAACAATGCAATAACAATTAGCATATATAAAAATAATCAATAGTAAACATAATCATTTAATAATAATAATAATAATAATAAAAATAATAATAATAATAATAATAATAGGTCGAATCAATATTTTAATTAATATTTATTCTAACACTACTAATTCAGTAATAATCACGATGATGATGATGATGATGATAATAATAATAATATGCCTAATAATAATAATAATAATAATAAAAATAATATTAATTACTTATATTATTGTTATTATTATTAACTTTATCAGTATAAAGGAGCGTAAAGTATGCTATGTGACTTCTAAGTTCGTCACTAGGTAAAAATCATAAATGATACTTGTATACAGCAACAACAATAATTTACCTAGATGAGCTGAGGGAATCCGAGGCATCGGCATTACAAGTGGCGGTAACGACTGTACCATCTCGTATCGACATCTTTGAGCTCGCTTCAAAGTTGGAGAGAGGGCGCTATGATCCTTATCTGTCGATCGGCCATGGTTATCATTAATGCATCGAATTGGTGATCTGGCGTATGTGTGCCCGTGTATCATTTTATCAATGCGTTCTCTAACGAATAAACGATGAAAAAATTAATAGTAATTATATGTCTACATCAGAATGTCGTTACATTAAGTATAGTGCAACCTGAAGGCTCACACAATTATAATTTATAATAAAGTATATCTTTGGCGGAGATCCTGTCTTGTCGTTTAATGCTTATAAAAAGAGGGCGTACCATACTGATACTACCACTGTTTGTTTTCTGCCACACATTAAATACCAGTGATTTCCGACAGTGGTGGCGCCACCACTGGGGTTGAGGGGAGGGCACCCCGTCGGACAGGAATGGACACCCCTGTCGTGGCCTGTCGTCCAACGCGACGACGAGATCGTCGGATCAAAATTTAAGAAACAATAATTTTCCTATCCAAAGAACGTTATTTTGATTGCCAGTCACAAATTGTGGTCTGGCACTCACTGCGCCCGACGGTCTATGAAAAACGTAACGCGACGACGCGCGCGCAACAGATCGTTTTTAATGACGATCCGTTCAGACTGTCACCAACAATCAGCAGACGACGTCGCGTTGTCTAGCGCTTACAGTGAGTGCTCGGCTTAAAGCACAATTTGGACTATATACCAGGGATTTTTTTTATTCCAGGACCCCGACTGAGGCTCTAGACGCCCCTTGGTCGGACACCTCCGTCGGACATGTCGGACCCCTTGTCGGCAAATATCTGGAGCCACCGCTGCTTACGCATGTACAAGAGTGTGATGAATTAGTTGCTTTAATCGGATTTGAATTAGTTAAAAGATTTGGTTAAGGCGTCTGCATAGACAGTGGCCCCGGGTTCGAATCCCGGTTGGGGAACCTGTTTTTTCACACCCGCAGATTCCCGTTCTAAATTTAAAGCTTTAGCATCATTAGAATGGGTTGAGATATTTATTTAGCTCAGTCGGCTAATCTGGTGGAAGTCACTGTGTGTGTGCTGAACTGTGGAGATCTGTAGGTCCCTGGTTTAATTTCCATCGCTGCCTCTCCTTGTGTTTCAGCTGGAGGGCTGAAATACAAGTTACAATAGCGCACCGTCTTTCGGATGAGACGTTTAAGCCGTTGGCCCTGTGTGAATTTATGGCCCATGTGCACGTTAAAGAACCCAGTACACTCTTCGGAAAAGAATAGGGGATTGTCTCCCGGTGTACTGCCCAATCACCACCAGAAGGACCCCACTGGAAATAAGTTTTCTTCTAGACTTTCGTGGGCTATCCTTGGTGTTTACACCGAATAAATCCAATCCAATCCAATGCGAAATATTTTGTAGCTGATGCTAAATTTATTTGCGCATAAGTATCTTATGCAGTAGTACAGTATGCACGCTAACCCTACAGCGTTTCTTCACTATCTTAGTAAACACTTGACCTAAAGGCTAAATACACAATGATCAACAAATAATTATTACTATTAATATATTATTGTTTCAAATAAATTATATAAACACTTAAACATAGACATCTTCCAAATACATTTGTATCATTTGTATTCTTACCTTTCAAATTCAGACAGCCTAGATGAATCTCGAAAGCCTTTAGCGAACGGGTTGCTATCAATCTTGAGGCGCGTTATCTAAAACAAATGCAGGAAATTCGATTTCAGCCTTAAACATTAATCAACAGTCGACTTAATTACTCGAAGAATTAATTCACTAATTAATTCATTAATAACTTGATATGGATACTGAATGACATGTCATCGTATAAATAGGACTATTTTAGTGATTACAGTTTTGTTTTTACAACAGATATGATCATTTCAAGACGATAAATTTTGTTAGAATGCACTTAGCAAATTCGTGACAATTACCATATTTTATTCTGTCATTATGCATTCACAAACACGCGCGCATTCATTTTGACGAGAATTGCGCGGACGGCTTGCTTCATCTACAGATAACGGCTAAAAATGTGTCAATTGAGTTTGTTTGAGTGACAGAGAAAATGAACTTATTTTACACACGCTCTTACGCCCGAGGGACTGTGTTTCCCCGTTCTACAACCTTAAATGTTGCACTAATGTGACATAAATGGCGTATAAGTAGAATTAGACAGGCTTAACGTTATTTACTCTCCGACAAGTATTCTTTCAAATATAATCGACAAATCATGTGATAACTGACGTCGAATGAACTTATCAAGAAATATTTTAAGTGAGAAAATGAAATTGTTAGCAGTACTAACCAGTTGGTTTTGGTAAGCCGTGACGGCTGTGAATGATGTTTCATCGAACACAAACGTTCGTACCGCCTCCTTTTCCAGTGACGTCACTGTCGTCATCTTGTCCTTGTATTTCATAATATGTACCCTTGGCTGATATCTATGCATAGAGTTCAAAATAATCTGAATGCAAAAGAAGCATTGTAAAAATGATATGTAAGTAGATTTTCAATGGCACGGTGATCAAAAATTAGGTCAATTGCAGGACCGAATTCTGGGTTTTGTGCGGATAGCAGGGACTGGGGTAGAGAAGAGAGAAGTTTCGTATTCATGACATACAGTAATTATAAAGTGTGAGTATAATACGTACTCCAAGTACAGAAATACACTCCATCGTGTTGGGATTTAATACTTTGACATTAATTATGTCTCACCATCATGATACTTTGAGTAGGCCTATGTATTATACTAGCTTATAGCTACAAACTTTATTTTTTTTATTTTTTATATAAGAACCAGTAAAATGTTGCCCAGGCTCTGTGTTCTTACTTTTTTGCCGATTTCAGGCTTAAAATTTTCGTATTTTGTTTTTAGTTTTCACTTTACAAACATAGAAAATTATTATTGTACAGCAGTATTATTACTGTAATATGAGGGTACCGGTATTACATAGTCACACCTACTGCAAATAAGGTACGGATAAGATATGTTATATATTCTTTTTTTTAAATAAAAACCTCATTTGACATTTTTTCCCATTTTTTTTTATTTATAAAAACCTCATTTGACATTTTACCTCAGCCTCAATTTGTTCTTATTTTGTTCCAAATTGTTTTGCCAATCCTCTGTGTTCTTATAAAGTGAGGTCTTATAAAAAAATGTAAGCTATATTCACGGTATGCCTATATAATAATAATAATAATAATAATAATAATAATAATAATAATAATAATAATAATAATAATAATAATAATAATACAGGAATTTATACCGCGCCGTATTATTTTTTTTATATTTGTGAGCCAATACAGTACTACTGTAGTAAAGTCCTGTGTAACTGTATTTAAACATTAGCAATTTGGACAGAGTGGCATTTTAAAAATCAAAGAATTGAGCGTTTGGGCGTGAAATTTACCGTAGTACGCTATAAGCTTGCGTTCGAAAAGAGTTCAGCAATTTTCGGGATGCTGTTTCTGTTTAAGTTGCTGATTTGTATATAAACTACGCCTAGCATAGCTCACCATATTATTTTTTAAAACATTAAGTTTTTTTAAACAGTAAGTTCATAAAGCTATGTAAATGTGTTTGTGATATCCTTTATCTAAAGTGTGTTTTAGTTGGTGTTTATATCCATCTGGCAGTGCGCTTTGTAAACGCATCAATTAACTTTAAGTGCCACCAATGCAAAGGATGTATTCAATTATTAGTAATACCGATATATAGGCATATAGGTGTTGGACTATCCTCTATTTGCATTGTGATAGATAATCTCGATAGTACATACTAGGAGGGGTGTACAGATATTCAAAGTTCGCTGTGCCAAGGAAACTGTCATACACAAGTAGGCCTAGGCCGCCTCGAGAGCCTTCATCAGCTAAACATGGATCCTACTAAAATTCATTGTGGTTTACAAGGACAATTTATGGAAGTGTGAACGTTTTTCTAACCTTTTCTTTTGAAAAGAGAGTTCAAACAAACACAAGAAACATTTAGAGAGATCAGCGGGTGAAGTGTCAACTTTTACGATTACCTAGGAATGTGTCGGGGAGGCTAACGATAAGTCCGTTTCCAACGTGTTTTGTCGGTAGGCGCCGCTCTGGCTATACGGGCCCTGTCAGTGCGGGTAAATTTTTAATCCTATGCTTAGTGACAAGCCAAGAAGACAAAATGCAGGCTTTGTAAAAATGCATGTGTTTTGATAACAAACAATTATTGACATTAACTGGAAAAAAATCAAAGTCCCGATAGCAGGAAATTGAATGAGTAACGATCATCAATTTTTATTTAGCAAACCGAAACTCTTTAAAAAGTTTTTAATCATGTAGCCTATAAAACAGGTAGTTTTGAAAGGGTGGTAGGCGTAATATTGATGACGAAACTAATCTAAATATAAAACAACGTCCTCCTTCTTCGGTCCCCGAGAGAAAATGTGCCCGCATCGTAAGCCCTCCGAAAAAGGGCAATAAGTCCATGACGCAGAAGTACTGGTAAACATTGAATAAAATTTGATGTTTATTCTTAACGGGAATTCTGCAGAAGGTATCTGTTCACGTATAGGCCTAATATAATTTGACCTATTTAGATGGCTATTATTCGTCAACCATAAACCATCAAACATTTTTCAGAGGTATACAGTACCGGTTTCAAGAACAAAGGGATGAAGGTTCAGGTGGGTCCGCCGTTTTAGGTAAATCAACTTTAATAATGAAATTAGAAATCGTGCCATTTAAATCTACAACTGTTTAAGAAGTTAAACTAACATCTTAATAGTTGATACCAATGATAGTGACGAACCTTCAAAGAAAAATCATAGGGTCTATAGCATTCAGTGGAGCATCTAAAGAATATATACTATAGTGTGTGTGTGGGATGGGGGCGGAGGTAGCGCAAGATTTTTTTGGACCGGGCATGCATCTCTTATGCCCTGCCGTACAGTAGGTACGCCAAAAAGTTATTCAATAAAGAAGTGAATAATATAATTATTACCGGTAACACTTTAAGAAAAAAATCTCACTCGGCTCACAATTTACTATGGCTTAATTAAAATAGGTTTAATTCAAATTGTATCATGTAATTGATTTTCTTATGTAATAGCCTATATCCATTACTCACGTGGCCATGTTGGTCCATCTCATTATTGGTAAGTTTCAACTTTTCGAACGAAACGATTTGTTTTAGCAACTGCTCGCCGGTGAATGGTGAGTCTGGATGGACGTACAGTCTCCGGGGTAGGGGAGGGTCTGCCTTCCCTGCCACTAGCCATGACGATCGATGATATGCGTACCTATAACGTTTATTATCTAATGAGACAACATCCAGAAGAACCGCATATTTACATGATGGCTGCAGCCCACTAAAAGATACCCGGATCGTCGGAAACATTCGCCTGGAAACAAACATTACGAATATTTACATTTCAATTATGGAATACAATTATGGAATATAAAAAAAAACTGAATCGAACCTTTGGGTATGAAATAATTCTAGGGATTACGATTTTAGTGTAACGTTCATATTTTAGACGCCTCATGCCGGCCTAATTTTATTCTATCAAAGACATTATCATGACAATGATGATGAGGATGATTATGGTCATTATTATTATTATTATTATTATTATTATTATTATTATTATTATTATTATTATTATTATTATTATTATTTTTATTATATTTGCTGTATTATTAATTAATAATATTTGTTTTACGTTATGTAGGCCTATACATCAATTTGCCCTCAACAACAAACTACGTAAAACAGTCAAGATTTTGAAAAATAATTCGGGTGACAGTAGCTGGGTTTGCCATAAAAATGAAACATAACCCTTGGTTTTGTATTGACTGTTAGGCCTATCTGAAAAAAAGTAAATGAGTACCGTAACGCTACAGTTGGATCTACGTCAAGCGATAAATAAAGCTCGAGACTCAACGTCATAATGCTCACCAATCAACAACCCTACGTCACATCAGCTGACTACGGCCTGCATTTTGTGTTCCCTTTAAACTTTGTTTGCGTATCAGTGACGTCACGAATTGAAAATCATTTTAAAGAGCTACTCCTTCATCATCCAAATACTTTGGCATAATCTCAATCAAATATAAAAAAAAGATTGAATTTCTTTGCTGTATTTTTAAATAAGGCCAAATAAAATTAATTGTTGGTTTCACACACGGAATTTGAAATTATTTTTATTTGGTGAGGTTAAGATAAATATTCTCAATTCTTATTGATAATATAATAATAGTCACAGTATATGCCTGAATAGTCCTATATTTAATAGATTGAGTGTTACTTATCCTGATTACTTCAATAATAATTGCACCTTTTCTTCTTTATATTGAGTATCCTGTGGCAGTAACTGTTCTACCTCAAGGCCCAGGTATAAGGACTCATAACAAGACTTAGGAAGTGGAGTTGTTTTGAACATATTTAGGCCTTTTCATGAAAGGAATATTATATAAAAATATAAATTAAAAAAAACCACAATATATTGAATGGTTTTCAATGAGTTTGTAAAACACTCAGAAAACTAGTTCACGACTCAAAATTGTGAAATACAAATGTAGTTGTATACTGTAATTGATATATAATTGATAATTGTGTTCGAATCTTTAGAAGACACGCCAAATAATCGACCTGATGTATTTTACTACCGCGCTGGTTGCAGCCCTATTTATCTTCCGTTAATTATAAACCTAAGAATAAATCCATAAAAAATATAATGCCCTCATTTATAATTACCTCAATTATTTGAGTTCAGAAACTACATTAGATTGTATTCTTTCTTTCATTCGAGACTGACTCGTGCAGACTCGCATTATCTGATGTATTGAATGTGAGTAGAACGGGGACATTTTAGAATCCGATAAACAAGTGTACGGTGTCTCAAAACTTTAGAGATTACATAAAAACAACATACACGAGAATTATGGCATTGAAATCGCTCGACGTACCTCGAACTCCGTCGATGCTCTATTAACTCGTAAGATCCAAGTCGCCTACACTGTCACAATGCCATTAGCTACCAACAAACCCCATGATCGGCTCAAGATTTATAACTAACATTTACATCTTAACTGCTTATTAAACCTTAAAAAGTGGCACTTTACTTTCGCGTCGAGCCGCAAAAGAAAATATTTTGCCACCTATGTCTCCGAAATCGGTATGTCACGATTCCTGCATTGACAAATGTGTTGTGTGTACCATAATTTATCACTCATGTTCGTTACCAGACATCGCTTTTAACCCAGTCCCTCCCGTTGACGAAAATGCAACGACACGAGGGTTAGGAACTGAGAGCGAGTTGCATTTTATGTACTTTTCAGCAGATAATACTATTTACTATAATTATACTATATAGGGCCTACATAGACCTACTGGCATCTGTAGGCCTAAACAATAATAGTTCATTGATAGGCCTAATTAAATTTATGATTACTAATCAAGGTAGGCCTAGTATGAATGTCACTCTAAAAATTGACAAGCCTTTTTTATTCTACGTTTCGCTTTTATTTAAGCATGGACCTAAGCATGCCATTATCAGGTCCTGATACTACTTGTCATTAAACTCACATATAGGCCTAACTATAATATTCATCCTTTCACGAAAAAATCTCTGTGGTTGGCAGGCTCAAAGATAAATGTAGGTCTATGTAGTAAATTAAATAGGCCTACAAGTAGACCTATATATGCATACGTATGTCTATTGTAGTCTTCATTGATAAGACCAGTGTCAAAAGATTTCTTATCCTTATCATTTCCCCCATCCCGAACCAATATTTTCAGATTACGGTACCCTGGCCAAAATCTTTAGTGAATTCACCCTCACTCTGGGGGCGAATATACTGGGATAGTATCCGCTTTTAGGGGATTCAGAACGGAGTGGGCAGAATTCTTGATGTTACGTACACGGGATGGGATTCTCGGAGAGATTTTCGTGAGCCGAAGGCCTCCGTGACACCGGTTGCCTCACCAGAATTGTTGAAGACGAGGCTTGGGAGTGGCTGGGTTTAAAAACTAAAATAAATTGTTTTTAATGATCACAAACACGAAACGTTATTCTGTGTGTTCTATCCTGAGATTTGGTAACGGTACATAAATTGTAAACTGATATACAATTCAACCATATACCGGTAATAAATTATGAAATTTGTTAAAATATTAATAATGGATTCAGTAAACGATTAACAACCTGGATCGTCAGTACTCACCTTCCCGATTTTGTGATAATCATTTCTGTACCAAGATCATGGAATTTATCCCACAATTCTTTCATTTCTAACCGGCAATCAATTGGGCTAAGCTCACTACCACTGTAACTGCGACCGACACTGGTTAGACCGCCAAAAAGTGATGACACCGGGCAGGTAGCGAAGTGACGAGGTATCGTTATCGACGACGTTGGCGAAGCAGGCGGTGGCTGCATGTGTCGGTGACGGTAAACGGAATCGCCCTTCTCCGTATTCTTAGAAACATTAGGCTTGTCAATCAGAATTTCTAAAACGAAACAAAATGATACAATTTTTTCGTGTAGTAGTAGTAGCCTTCAATAATAAAACCTCCAATTTTAATATTTCATTTTATTCCAACCTTTTGTAAAAAATCACAATAAGCTTGTATGGTAATTACAAAAATGTGGGGAAAAAATTTAGGAAAAATATTGATTGTACAAAGACACTCAATACAAAGTACTCTTTTTATTTTTTAAAAATAAGAACACATTTTATAAGAACACTGAGGCTGAAATTGCTTGAAAATTAAGAACAAAATAAGAACCATTGAGGCTGAAAATTTCAAATAAGGTTTTTATTTTTAAAAACCAAAAAATTATATCTGTAGATTGTATGCAGATAAGATGTGACTATGCAATACCCTCTATAATACAGTAGGTGTACCTATCTGAGATTTGGGGCCATATTTTGCGGTCACTTTCACCTACATTCCAGTACAGTGCATACTGCCGTACAATTAATTTTTGTTTAAAAGGTGTGTAAATTAAGAACAAAATAAGAACACTGAGCCTGGGCAAAATTTTACTGGTTCTTATTAAAAAAAAAAGTGTGGTACCTTAAAATAGACAAATGAAAACTCGGTGTCTTATTTTGTATGTTTAGAAAAAAATGTGCAATAAATTATGTCAGTACTTGTTGTTGTGACGTCTTGTTCTAGTATAGAACGAGGTTCAGAAATTTCAAGCAACAAAAAAAAAAAAACAACAAAAAAAACCCTCTAAATCCCCAGCAGCAACTGCAGTAACAACAATGATAATAATCACATCATATACCGTATACTAATTAGAGTCCAAAAAAAGAAATTCATAAACGCCCAGACGCCTGCTCAAATCTGGGAAAATATATCGTTAACACCATCTTTCAGGCACTTATAGACCTAATAATGAAGGTGTTTAATTTCCTGTTTCGATAATAATTTTGCACTAACGGAATACAAAATATCATTCATAGAAAGGTATAATAATAACATTAACAACAACAATAATAATAATAATAATAATAATAATAATAATAATAATAATAATAATAATAAATAATGATAATAATAAATAATAATTAATTAATTATAATAATAACCATAATAACAATAATTATAAATAATGATAACAATAAATGATAATAATATTAATAATAACAATAATCATAATAAAATTAACAATAATATTTGTAATCCAGTAATAAAAATAGCACTGTAGTACGGTAATAATAACGATTATGATGATGATGACGATCATGATGATAATAATAACACTACTACTACTACTACTACTACTACTACTACTACTACTACTACTACTACTACTACTACTACTACTACTACCACAGCTACTACTACTACTACTGCTACTACTACTACTGCTGCTGCTGCTGCTGCTACTACTAACGATAATAATGATAATAATAATAATAATAATAATAATAATAATAATGTGCCTGATAATAGGCCTAATAATAATAACAACAAAAACAATAACAAAAAACTGAGTCTTTTATTCTTCGACATATCACCAACAACGATACTTTAAAACTGAGTCTTTTATTCTTCGACATATCACCAACAACGATACTTTAAATAAAAAAGAAAATTAATAATTTAAAATGAATTATAAGGTGCTTGAATATCGGTTTTTGAAATGATGGGTTTAAACGTTTATAAATATACCGTACGGTATCTTAAAATGTAGAAGTGTCAAAATGTCGCTCAATCACATTGGTATATATATCCACAACCTTTGTTATTTCTTGCAAACAAATATCAATACAGCCATTAATATTTACACCGTAAGCCGTCCTGAAATAAGACAAATGTATCAGAGTTGAAAACTCACTCTACTAACTGTCCGCGAAGCCTGACGCCTCACATTCATCAACCCCGGAACAGGCCTGAGATGAATGCTGATTTGCTTTAGTTTTGGCGGCGAATCGTTTAGTTCATGTTTGGTGTTTAGGTTTCTTAAGTCATTATCGTTTGTCAAAAACTTAAGCAGTGTTCGGGTGCGTTGTGGATGCAATGCCGACAGAATCGCAGTAAATTTTGCACCCAAGCGGAATGAAACTTCAAACACTTCAAAATCAATTTTTCTTTTTCAATAACAACTAAACATTGTCAAAACTAAACATGTTATATTGAATTCGGGTTATCTAGACCATCACACGGCCTCGTAACATTTTTTTTTGTTCTCTGCTAGTGAAAACAACCTCTACAAACAAATTTTGTCTCTGAAATAAATCAGACAAATATTTGACTGAAATAACAATTTAAACTTAGGCCTATAGAATGTAGATCTATGTTTAAACGAAAAAAAAAAACAAAAAAAAAAAAAAACCCTTCACTCTAAATGGTTTCATTGTAGTAGGGCTACGTCTTTTCAATTATAAAAACTTGAACACAGCCAACACTTTGCTTACAAGAAAAAAAAAAAAAACAAAAAAAACAAATATAAAAACACCATACGAAGGATACGGCAAAAACAAAGACAAATAAATAGGCCTACACCAACATTTTAAAAGATGGGTCATTTCTTCTGAGTTGTGAGCTAATCAACTTAAAAAATATAATTCAACATCTGCTTTAATTACCCGTAATGTTTTAATTGAAAATTAGAAAAAAAAAAAACATTTTTGTCATATCAGTATTCAATATTTCTTCGACGTTTGTAGATAGCAGTCAACTGAATTATCTTTGTAGTACTTTGTAAAAAGACACATGAATAGTATTTCGACATGTGTATATTTTAAAGGGTTGGAATTTAATCATTTTAACAACAAATTTGCAATTGAAATTTTGAGGGTGGTTCCCAGATTTTATCATTGTGTATAATATTGTTAGGAACCAAAACTACAGTAATTTATAGCATTTAAATATAAATTATGAAAAATAAAATTGATTCAATTATAATTTATAATACGTTAACTGCACTTAACAGTTTAACGTAACTGAATTGCAGTTTAGTTTGGGTATTTAACGTTCAGCCTTTCAAAAGAATTTATGTATATTCGTTAAAATGCAATTCGAATCATCGATAATTTTGTTCTGTTGTAAAAATCAGTTTTACAATCATCTGTAAGGGACATATGACTCGTTTTCTTCTAAATTTAATCTATATATAAATCAGTTTAATGGGTAAGCCAGTAATCATGGTACATAGATTGAAATTAAGAGAACTTTTTAGGGCTATAATTTGCCTACATCTAGGTATATGTATCTTATTATTAAAATTCTTCAACGAAATTGAATTATACACTTTAAAAAACAAAGAAAAAAGTAAGAACACATTTTATAAGAACACCAAGACTGAAATTGCTTATAATATAAGACAAAAATAAAAACAAATTGAGGCAAAAGCTAAAAAAAAAATGTCAAATGAGGTTTTTATTAAAAAAACCAAAAAAATTAAGCTTGTCACATAATATAAAGTATTATTGTTTATAGAGGTATATCAACATCATGTCTACTCCTATGTAGCACCATACAGTAACAACAGCATACTGCTGCGTGTAATATTGTTGATGATCTGTGTAGATGCCAGTGTGGTAACCTATGTGTTTATGTAGTTATACTGACTGTTTAAAATGTGTTATGATTGATTGGCTGTTCCAGTCAACGAACATTTGAAGGAGTTCGGCCATGAAATTTAATTAAGTATGTTTACTTTTCTGAGCAGGTCTCCTTCCAATTTCACATATATATAT